TGTATTTTTGTGGTAGTATATAGCTCCTTTACTTTGATCTGGAGACAGTACTAAGCCTTTTGAAGCCAGTTTGCATTATTTCAAGATATTTGGTTTTATAGAACTCCCATCCTTTAATGCTGCAACGGAAATCAAGAAAGCCACGTTACTGTTAATTTTTTTTTTAACTTAAAGTTACTGCATTAGTGTTCCCAACAAATCATTAAGTAAATGGTTATACTTTAGTGGATTTGTTTTTGTTGTTTCTGAAAAGCATCTTACCTTGGTTTTTTATGTACTGTATCTTGACCAAGTGCCATAGACTCTTCAAGGATTACCAGTTTATCATTTTCTTCACTAATACATTCTGATATTAATAAGCTGTAAAACAGGTGTGTCAAACTCATTTTGGCTAGGGTGCCTAAATACATCTATCCATCCATCTTATTGTACGGAGTTTGCATATTGTCCTGTGTACTTCTCTGTATATAAAAAACATTCAAATACAATATATTTTCAGTCGGAGTGGAGTTTCAGATCTTCTACATTCTACAAATAGTTCTCGTCTACGTACACAGATAACCCAATACCCACTCAAGCTTTTTTTCTGATTTATTCTCTTTCTTGCGCTCATCTTCCAGTCTGTGTACAGTTCCACTCTTTAGATCCATAAATAAATTATAGTCTTTTCCAGGCAGTTGCTGTTTCTCACTGGCACATAAACTCCCCGCACCAACAGGGTCAAGAAGACAGTCGAACACAGTCGTTGGGTGGAAACAGGGAGACAGCAGACAGCCCACGGCGAGCAGTGCTGCTCACCAAGTTCAAAAACACTCGACCACAAAACCGCAACTGGCAAACAGAGTGGTGACATCAGTGTCTCTGGACCACATTTGAGTACGAGGCATATGAGCTGCATATGCACGGCACAATGGAAAACCGAGTCAGCCAGGGTATTCAGGCACCGTGCACCGAGTGCAGAGGAGTAAAGACAGAGAGCTGATCTTTAGTGATGCTGAACAGATGCCAGTGAGTCACAGGCCAAATGAAATGATATGACGTTTTCCACTTACTCTAACACGGCAGTTACAGGCGAACATGTCACTCCCACTGCGCCTCTTTCCTTTTTCTCACTCGGTCCTTGCTGTCGTCTTGTGCGCCAAAAGCTTCGTAGTCTTAGACAAACTGTGTCGAGCTGTCACAAGAACCTCTGTGTTTGCTTTCAATAGGTCCTAATGAATCGGATTGTCTGCATGCGCAGAGAATGCTGAGTCAACAATGGGACAAAGGTTAGCTTTATAAAAAAAACAAAAAAAAAACAAACAGATAATCATTATGTATGCAGTTAAACGTTAAAGACAATTTTTATATCATACTGTACATAAGCACCTACGTTGCTCACCTACAGTAACAACATCATCAATCTAGTACTGGGGTTCCCAAACTTTTCCATGCTAACACCCCCACCCAAAGAGCATTAGCCTTTAGTCAGGACCCCCATTTGAAAACCCACAGACAATGCTATCATTGTTTTCTCACTTTTATTCACTATTTAATAATAATTATTTCATTTGTTTAGCATAAAATATTTACGCAAATGGGCTAGCTAGCTTAAGGGGCTAGCATGAGGTGCAGAGCGGCTTGATAACAGGCACAAAACACCAGGTATACACAGATTATGGCGTTGTCGTGCCAAAGTTGCAGATGTGACATGGGGTGCATTCAGGTACTATTGGAAACTGAAAATCTGAAATTTTCTTTAAGCATTTTTTTTGGGGGCGACCACTGATCTGGTACATGAAAACATCAGAAGAGTCAGATTTATGCTTGGTAGTTTAATGAAGGGCAAAAGTTCCCCAAAAACATCCCGAACCAAACCAAAAAAAAAAAAAAATCACATTAAGTAGAAATGTTCTTGGAAATCAATTTCCTTCTACGACACAGCGCTCTCTTAACATACATTCTTTGACTATTTCCACCGCTGCTGGTGGATTATTATAACCCAGGGATCACATTACCAGCTGTGATCACGCACAAAGCACAGCCAAAGCTGCCATTTCAAACGAACGAGGGCCTGTTTTTTCAAACGTCCAGAAACGTAGCAGGTCAGCGAAATTACTTCCATAGCGGGGATATATAAGCAGTGGATTATTTATTTTTAAACATAGTTACAGACAACATCTGTGTCAATATTATGAAGATTTTTTTAGTACTCTCTTCTTTATTGAGTTGAAAAATGAGCACATCTGGAAGATGCAGAGCCAGACAGACATAAAGTAAGTTTTGGCAGGAGAACCAAAATGAAAAAAAAAAAAAAGAAAAAAAAAAGGGAAGTTCAGTTTGACCAACTGCTTTAAATAGACTTAGTATTATTCAGTATTACATTATTTATATTTATAGATTTGATGCCACGTCTTAAATAGACCTTTATATCTATTTACAACGATAGGACGGGAAAATTATATTATATCGTTAATAATGACTGAACTCTTAAATTGCCTAAATGGAAAAGACAGTGTTTGAAAAAAAAAAGAATTATTATCAAAAACATGCTAAATTATTATTTTTTAGCTACCTAGCATATTCTTTTTACGTCATTTCTTTTCATAGATGCTGATATGTCAATGTATTTTATTAGAATATCAGGCAGGTGCGTACAGTGTAGGTACTCACTGTACGCGGTGTATGAAAATAGCTTACAGTAAGGAATGGGTGCAGGTGCTCTGTGGTTCGCCAACACTCACAGACACACACACTCACACTCACACTCACACTCACACACACTCTCACACATTGCGAAATGAATGCAGTCAACCTTTATGACCTTAAATGAACAAGGCAATCATTCATTTATTCATTCATTTTTTTCAGATGAGTCCCTTTCAGGGTCACGGGGGGAGGGGGAGGGGGGGCGCTAAACGAAGACAAACAACAAGTCATAGTCACATTCAAACCTATGGCCAGTTCCAGTGTCAAATAAACCTGGTCCTTACACTGCATGTTTGTGTGATCCATAGTGGTAACCCTTTAAAACCCCATTACACACTAGGGGGAACATGGCATCGACCTCGGACTGAACCTGCCAAATGGTGGTCGGCTTTTCTGTAAGGCAAGTCTCTTTTAGCCCGAGGAGCCAATCGTGGATAGCTAATCCCAACGCTGAGTTGTAAAGTGAGATTGCGAGTTGTTCGTAAGTTCCTTACTCAGTTCTGCTAGCTAAAATGATCTACCAACATTGATAATATGAAATATATATTTACTCATATGAACTAAATGTATACATGTACTCAGTACTTCTCAAGTAGTGGGGCGGGGTCCCTTGGGGGGGCGCAGTGTGGTACCAGGAGGCTGGGGGGGAATGGTAAACAAGCCTTCAGTCACTAGGTGGCAGCAATACTCATACATCGGTTTGTAAGAATAAGAAAATACATATTATCGCATTCTCAATAGTATTTAAATTCTGTCCCCTAGGGGCGGCATGACAGAACATAATTGCGAACCACTGCATATACTTTTGAATATATATACATATACTTTCGGTATACATGATATGTTCGGCTACTTTGATTAATTGCACGTATCTGTATGGTGCAATATGTCTTATATACTTATTAATATATATTAATACTTACATTGTTACTTATTTAGTCCTAGAGATTTTATTCTAAAAGTAGAATGACATTTATATTTTAATTTTTAAAGTTTTATTTGATCTAATGATATGACATTTTTGGAATCAGTCATCCACTCTGTCACTTTAACCTCTGTATGTTCTGTGTACTTGCAGATTATTTACAAATGTATCACATGTTGCTGGGTTTTTTTCCCAATTATAAAATGATGGGTACTATTTATTGTGGTTTTGTACTATGTATTTTTGTGTGTATTTGTCCACTGGAAAAGCGAATGCTTTTCTGTGGTTTTTACAATGTTATCCTGAGGTTAAAAAGACTTTTAGAGATTTGTTTGTTACTTAGATCAGGGGTCTAAAGACAAAGATGCATTTTGAAAGAAAAGAAAGAAAGAGAGAAAGAAAGAGAGAAAGAAAGAAAGAAAGAAAGAAAGAAAGAAAGAAAGAAAGAAAGAAAGAAAGAAAGAAAGAAAGAAAGAAAGAAAGAAAGAAAGAAAGAAGGAAGGAAAGAAAGAAAGAAAGACAGAAAGAGAGGAAGGAAGGAGGGAGGGAAATAAGGAATAAAGAAAGAAACAAAGAATGAAAGGGGGGAGGGAAGGTAAGAAGGAAGGAAGGAAGAAGATAGATAGACAGATAGATAGATAGACAGACAGACAGAC